GGACCCCTGCTGAAACAGATGGGGCAACTGACAACTGACACCCAGGAAAAAGCCAACCTATTAAATAGGTACTTTGCGTCAGTCTTTCATCAGTCCCATGGGACGCCCATGCCCGCTACAGGGCCGGGAAGTCCGGGTGAGGGTGATCCGCTGCCCTCCTTTAATGCTGACTTTCTGAAGGAACATCTTGAGAAGCTGGATATCTTCAAGTCAGCTGGCCCTGACCATCTTCACCCCAGGGTACTCAAGGAGCTGGCGAGCATCATAGCCCAGCTATGTTGGCTAGCACTATGGAAGAAAGAGACTTGGGGGTCGTCATTGACCACAAGATGAACATGAGCCTGCAATGCGATGCGGCGGCTAGTAAAGCGACCAAAACGCTGGCTTGCATCCATAGATGCTTCTCAAGCAAATCCCGGGACGTCATTCTCCCCTTGTACTCGGCCTTGGTGAGGCCGCAGCTGGAGTACTGTGTCCAGTTTTGGGCTCCACAATTCAAAAAGGATGTGGAGAAGCTTGAGAGAGTCCAGAGAAGAGCCACGCGCATGATCAGAGGTCAGGGAAGCATACCCTACGATGACAGGCTGAGAGCCCTGGGGCTCTTTAGCCTGAAAAAGCGCAGGCTCAGGGGTGATCTGATGGCCACCTACAAGTTTATCAGGGGTGACCACCAGCATCTGGGGGAACGTTTGTTCACCAGAGCGCCCCAAGGGATGACGAGGTCGAATGGTCACAAACTACTTCAAGATCGTTTCAGGCTGGACATAAGGAAGAACTTCTTTACTGTCCGAGCCCCCAAGGTCTGGAACAGCCTGCCACCGGAGGTGGTTCAAGCGCCTTCATTGAACACCTTCAAGATGAAACTGGATGCTTATCTTGCTGGGATCCTATGACCCCAGCTGCCTTCCTGCCCTTTGGGCGGGGGGCTGGACTCGATGATCTTCCGAGGTCCCTTCCAGCCCTGATGTCTATGAAATCTATGAAATCTCACCTAACTGATAAAACAAGCTGGCTGGCTAAGCATCTCAATGGTTATGATCCCTTCACTGCAGCCTGCTCCAGCCTCCAGTCAACCCACAAGGCAATGATCTGCAGCCATCTGAACTGGTTCCTCAGACTATTCCCATCTACATGGGTAGCTAATCTAGTCTGAGACACAATGTAGCTCACAGCAGGGATGGACTGCCCTTTGAGGAGTAGCTTGTAATGGATGGATAAAGCCCTACAGAAGCCTAAGAGGTTTGTCCCTGGAATTAAACAACTCCTTCCTCATTGCTTTTGAGGGGACCTCACTGCAAAAAGGCATGGTTTTAATTTGGGTCAGCTTGTTCAAAATAACCAAGGGCTCTTGAATTGCTGAGAATAGTAGCTCATGACTGGAGGGATCTGAGGTTGAGTTTTCATCACTAGACAACATGAAAGGCCCAGCCAGACATTTGAATCCAGCTGTGCTTGCTCAAAGGCAGAACACATCTGCTCTGGGCAGCCAGGCCACCAGATGTTACAGTGCTCCCATTGTAAGGGAAGTGGGACAAAATTTGGCTGTGAAGTCCAGGCTGGAACCAGCCCCCGCCTGGTGCTTTAGTGTCCACATGACAATGTGTGAGGGGCACATTGTCATGTGGAGGAGATTAAGAGCATTATACGAAGGGAAGAGGGGGAAAGCCCCAGGTGGGTCCCACAGAAGCAGTGTCATGAGCAGGTGACCCCAATGGTTGATTCACACAGGCTCACAGAGGGAAGGGATGGAGCAAGGTTCAGACACAGCTTCCGGGCTGAGGGGCTGCCAGGGTACAGAAGGGGAGAAGAGAAGCCAAGAGGAGGGAGAGAGAGAAGGCCACCTAGCCAGACAACCCCACACTCATCTATCTACCCCACAGGGACCCTCCATTCATATATTCATACATCCCACACAGACTCTCCAGCCATCCACCCCTCCATGGACCTTTCTATCCAGTCTGTTCATCCAACCCCACAGGATCCATGCATCCATCCACACACAATCTACATCCATCCCTACATGATCCATCCATCACATGGACCTCCATCCATCCTCACATGGACCTCCATCTGTCCATCCCCACTTGAACCTCTCTCTACATCCACCCACCCGTAGACCATCCAACCATCTCTACACATTGAGCTGTCCTTCATCTGTTCACATACAGACTCTCCATCTGTTCATACTCGTGCAGACCTTTCCACCCATCAATCCACACCCTCTGTCCATCCATCCCCATATGGAACCCCTCCATTGATCCCTCCATACTCACAGAGCCCATCTATCCTTCCCCCCGGCCCACAAATAAATAAATTAAATTCACAGCTTGCCCCCTGTAGCCAAGCAGCTACCCCCCACCCCGGGCTCCAGCAGAGGCGGGCGCTCTCGCCTCCTCTGTCTCTGCTTTCTCCATCCAGGTTTCCGTGGGTGGCCGTTGGCTCAGTGGGTGGGTTTTTGTCTTTTAACATCCCTTTTCATTCTGTTCTTCAGCGCATGGGTTTTTGTTTTAAATATTTACAGGTTCACAGTATTGTCTGCTACGACAGCGGCTCCTGGCCGGATATATGAAGGGGGGGGGTCCCTGTGAAAGACACCTACTCCCCTGCCAGTGCCCCCTGCCCGTCTTGGTGGCGGGGTATGATCCATCCATCCCTTTCACGGCCTCCATCCCATGTCCCGGGCAGGGCTCGGAGAAGGGGGTGTGGTTTCTCCCGAG